AAAATGTATGCCTGTGCTGTAAACCTTTTTTAATTAGCATAAGCACCTTTAATGAATATAAATGTAGACTCTTAATGAGACTGATGCAAGTAGAGCAGATATGCTAGCAAAAGTTTTACACTGAGGCTGCTGCAGAGAAAGTGTAAGCAGTCGAATTAGGCTGGTCATTTTAAAAACAATAAAGATGATTATGATCTTCAAATATTTTCTGCTCATCAGTGTGACTGTGTGTGGAGTTAACTGTGTGACTCATGAACAACTTGTGTTGACACGATGTTTCTGAGATGGACAGTTCATGTAGTCAATAGTTGACCTAAAGGCCTCACGGTTATTGAATGAATCCAACCAGCACCCTCTACCAGGCTCTGCACATCTACAGCTGGGCACAGAAAACCGTGGTCCCAGTGGTGATGACCTCAGAACTAATTAATGCACCTCTGTCATCTTTTTATCACTGACCTTTTAAGAGCTATCTCTGAGTCATGTCCAGCATCTGAACCATCCATGACATCACAGGTCGCGTACCGGCCCCTGCTCATTTGCTGACTTGACAGGCAGGTGCTTATGTGTCATGCCCGCCCTGCCCTCCCAGTATAACATGAGATAAACTACAGGGAACACTAACTCCATAACAGTGCTCACTGGCCATGCCCATTAGCTCTAAATAACACTCTCGCAGTACAAAGCACCATCATCAATACTGTAATGGCCACATTAATGAGCATTACACAGCATTGGTTTTTAGAACCACTTACTGCCACTGAGCTCATGCATCATAACAGTGTGTTCGACATTTTGCCCCGTGATAGCTGTGAGAGTTGCTCTGTGGCGACTTGGCAGCTTGCTTCTGGCTTTCTTCTTCCTGTTGTATGTCCTCCTGTCCCTGTTGTTGCATTCATGCTGCCTAGTTTCCACTCTGCTTCAGTCAGTTCCTCTTCTTCTTTATGCTCTTTTTGTTTAATCTGCTCTTTTCTCTGTTGGACTCAGTGATAGTCATTCTCAGGCGGGCTCTTCCTTCCCACCCCTTTCTCTCTGCCTCCCTCGGTTCCCCTGGCTGCTCATTTCCTCACTACAAAGATATTTCTTGGTGAACACCTATTATTTAGCCTCGTCTTCTCCCCTCCCTTTCTCTCAGTTGCAGTGTTTTCTTCTTATATGATACTTGAGAAGACTTGTACATGTTCTTTTGTATTATATGGTTGAAAGCCCATTTTTCTTGCCAATACCACATCATCTCCTTCCTTTGTTGAATGCGATAGCCACCAGAGATCAAGATTTCTTTCTAAACACCATCAATCCAGCAACTTAATGAAGTTGGAGAAATGGGTACACTCTTTTATCCCTCTCTGCGTCCACATTGGAGACAGGAGGATGGATGGATGATGAGTTTGGAGAGAGAGAATTGAGTTACTCTCAGCTGTCGGACTGGCTTCTGTCTAGACAATGGCTCGGATGATCTGGAAGATTTGACTGCCAGCTGCTCAGGCATTATGAAACTTTATGTTTTAACTCCTGATTAACTGAAGATGTAGCCAAGGATTTGAATCTTATTCATTTTCTTGTACCTATACAAAACTTGTTTCAGATACAATTAGGGAAATGTGTTAATTTGATTTTTAGAAACCTTAACTCTAAGAGACACTTTTTGTATTTTGTTTTTCCCAACACTGCATGGAATGAAACATACAAACGAGCATAAAGTGTCTGTCTCAAACACATGGGAACAGATGGTTTGAAAGCAATTCTTCATCATAATCCTGTTCTTACTCTTTGTACTATGTAACAGTAATAATAGTCCTTGGCTCATTGCCTGGCTGTGTCTTGTGTTTTGCTGATTATACCAGAGACAATAGGAAAACAGGTGATAACCTATAATTTCATTTAAATTATAGGAAGTGTTTCACACAGGCAAACGTAATGCAAATGCAAAAATACACACAAACTAATCTGTGGGAGCAGCTAGTCCTCTGCCTTGTTAGAACCTCAGCGGCATTGGTTGGTTATATCCAGCAAAGTTTAAACACTTATTTGTCATTGCTGCTTAGGCACAACTGTAAAATCAAGTGTCATATTTCCTATGTTCTGTTTTCTTTTTCTCATGCGGATGCCAGACTTGCTCATCCCACACAAGGTTTAAGATCTTGCTTAGAGTGATTATATTAATCTGATTAAAATGCAACATGTAACTGCTATATACAGTATGTTAGCTCTTGTGCAAACTGCAGTAATCCTATTACAAATAAAACACATGACTGCTCAGAAATATTGCAGGTTTGAAGAGAACAGCAGCTTTTGTTTAAAGCTCTCTCTATGGTGCTGATCCTACTGCAGGCACACAGTCACATGGTCAGCACCATGGACAGCGCCTGTGATTGTTACATTGTCTAATTAAAACCAGTTATTTTGGCCATTATGACACAGCTGTTTGTCTCAGCTGTCTATGGTAAACTATAACAGTACGAGTTACCATGTTTTCTGTTACTGAGGTGATAAGAGCACAGCGTGTTATACACCAATTCTTGGATTTTGTCATTAACTCTGAGCTCTTCATCATGTCACTGTTTCCATAACCTACTGTCTTTCTTTTCCTGTGAATCGCCATGTGCTGCTTTAGCCTCCATTGTAGCCCAGAAGTGGTGGTGCCAGATGCAGCCGTGCATGGATGGAGAGGAGTGTAAGGTTCTGCCTGATCTGACTGGCTGGTCCTGCAGCACTGGAAACAAAGTCAAAACCACTAAGGTGAGAAGAATTCCTGCTTTTGTTTGTGTGTGTGTGTGTGTGTGTATTCATGTCTAAGTGTCTTCATGTTTATATCCCCATCTTTGACATCTGAAAACCAGTGTAAATAGTGTGAGTACATTTCTTCACTTTGCACATGCTCCTCTTTTTTATGCATCCGTTGTCTGTGTAATTTCCTTGCAGTGTTACATGTACAGTATACTCAGCCAGCTCCAATTATTACAGAGGTCTTGATAACTGATTTGTATGCAACAACAAATAATGTAACATTTATCAGTGTTCATATTCCAAAAAAATAAAATAAAATAAAATAAAAACCCTGAGAAACACATGGTGTCTAGAAAGATTAAAGAAATGTATTGTTGAGAATCTTCTAGTTTAAGTAATATCTGATGTTAACTTTCATCTTCAATTAAATATATATATTTTATGAAACATCTTGTCTCAGTTAGTACCTGAAAAAAAGACCTTTCAACTGGATGACTCCATTTAACAAGATATGAAAAGAAAAAACTCAGCAAGCTAATTAAACAAAATCCTATAAAGAAAGGTTTGAATCTTCAAGATGATGACAAATGAACGCAGTAAGAACTAATATCAAACAATGATTAAAACTACAAATAAATAAATGATTAAAACTACAAATAAATAAATACAGAGCAAAAAGCTTCAGTGTCAGTCTGCTGTAACTGTATCTCCTCAATCCAGAGTGGGAAAAAAGTGACAGAGAAAACAGGAGACCTGTGCGCACTCTGTACGTCACAAAACTACCCTGTGACACCATGTAAACTGACACTGTTCAGGTGAGATAAAGTGATTTAAATGAGGGCCCTGTGTGGCTCTTTGTAAGCTGCTGAAGTGTGAAAGTTAATTTGCAGGTGTGTGTTTGTGTGCATGTGTGTCATGGTATGGAGCAGGTGCAGTTTATTTACAGGTGAAATATAGAAAGGGAAACAGTTGTGAGGGAAGCGACGCAGGCGCCATAAGAGTAATTGCTTGAGAGATGGCATTACAGCACAACATCTGTCACATTCATTAGGATGCATTATGGCTGGGGCCTTCCACAGAGGCTTTACAATTAAGAGTCATAATTAAATTGGTGAGTGGGATAGACTGAGGAACAGAGGCACTGCTGGGCTCAGTCACAGGCAGTGGAATTAATGACCCTGGGCCTAACACCAACTCTGGGACTGATAGGTGCAATTATCCTCATTCTGTCGCATGTTGCCATCTCTTTCCTCCTTGTTCTCCCTCTTTGTCACTAGTTTATCTCTCCCACCCATCTGACTAGCTGATCACCTGAGAGTAGGGTGAAGAACCAATGGCTGACTGCAACAGTGGACATTAATTGTGCATTTACAAGGTGCCTTGGGACCAGGAAGCAGTTACTTGGAGATTTGGTGGCAGATGTCACTAAAGATACTTGCAACGAGACACAGATTCCCTGGCAACTGCTCGCATGGCCATACTTTCTTTGCTTTTTCTGTGTCTGTCTTCTTTGTCCTGCATCTCTTTCTAACTATGACCTCCTTTCACCACCTTGGCATCTCATTCACCATGATGATCTGTATCTGTCTATTTCTTTTTCACTCCCACACAGCGTATTTGTGCTGTAGAAAGATGCACTGATTACAGTCGAACACAGTTTAACAAGAAACAGCCGAGACACTGCAGCATAAGATACATATTTTCACATGTGCCTTTTCATATGTCTGGCATTTACAGAACTTGCAGGACTGGAACTGGATTTTTTTTTATATATGGGCAAATCTGTTCATTATGAATTCAAATGGGATGGGGTTTGTTGATGGAAAACAAGCTCTTTATATTTCCAACTAGAAGCCTTCAACTTACTGCCCAAGTGTAAACAAACAATTACAGCTTTGAGACATGTGAAATCCAGCTTTGGCACTTGAGACCTGTTGAGCGATGAAATCAGTCAACCAGCTAAACTGCAAACAAAACATTTTCAATCCAATGAAAAGGGCAGAGAGCCTGAAATGGTAACGCCATGGTTTGATTTGGAATATTCTCCTCTGACACGTGATTGGCTCTTTCAAATGGAAGTGTTCATTCAGCGACCACAGAGCTGGACACAGAGTCGCTCTGTGTAATTACATGTCACTGTGATGCTGATTCTCTTCTTATCTAGGCTGTTGTTTCTTTTTTAGGTCACACGATAGCAAGAGAGCCACTGAGCCACAAGGAAACCTAAAACTCTCCGTGTGGAAAGGATGGATGACTCACACATATTTACTGTACGATGGGAAAAAAATATCAACGACAGGAGCGCTGTCAGGCTATCCATCACAAAATAATGGGATAAAATGTACTCATCACAAACTGCTTACTTGGCTACACGGATCTACGTGCACAATGTATACAGTACTGTATGCTGGTAATTAAGACTAATGGACTACAGTCATGGACACCCAGGGTACGTCCAAACACAGATGGACTCCTATTTTCCAATAATGGACAAAGTGTGGATTACAAAAAAAGACCTAACAATTTAAACACTGATTAAGCATTTTAAATCATATATTTCATTGGTGGATGAGTGTGAGACGTGTGTGTTTAGAGCACTGCTGCATACAGTACAGACCTGTCAATATTTAGAGCTTATAATGGAAACAGTAGAGATGATTTTGGAGAAATGAAACTGATAGTAGCTCATAACTAGTAAATAGCAAATTAGCATCAAATTGCTCTGGTGGGTCAAGTCACTACCATGAAGGCTGTTATGTGGGAGTCATTTTGCAGTTCTAATTAGGAACTGCAGTGTAGGATCATAACAACATATTAAAAATTCATGTAAGATATTTGCACTAGTCGACACCATTTGGGAATGTTTTGTTTTTCTAGATATTTCCCATTTTTGCTGTGGATAGCACATGAAAATGAAGGTAAAATGTCTGACACTTGAAGTATATAAATATATACATCACAACCCATTATTCCTGGGTAAATATCAGTTAAAAACGACTGACTATAGCGCTTCCCTTATACACAGCTTAGTACAGTATGAACTAGCAAAGTCTCATCTCTCTTTTTTGCCCAGAAAAGCTCAGCCTTCAAAGCATTTGATCTGCTATATTCGGTCTGTGACATCTCTTCTGTTAACTGTTAAAAAGGAGGCCCATAAAATGTTCAAACAAAAAGGATAAGTTGTTTTTATGCTGTTATTTCACAGTATTGGAAGTATTCTCTCTCTTCCTCTGAATGTTCAGGTTCTTAGTCTTTAAAATATTGAAAATACAAAACAACTGTATGAATAGGGTTTTATTTTAAACTATTAGGAGAAACATTATGTTTCTGTGTGCACATTGCCCATTGATTGCCTCTAGAATTCTCATTCACATCAATGCTTCAATGAGATATACTGAAATAATTGCCACAGAAAATGGCAGTTCAACCCTTTGCAAACATATTTTTCCCTTTTTTTAGCATATCGCCCCAAACAACCCTATTAAATTTCTTAATTACGTGTCCATTTTTCCTTTCACACTCCCCTTTTCTTTGAACCTCTCGCCCTCTCTTGTCCCCCCTCCCTCTTTTCTTCCACAGTGCATACTATACAAAAGATGGCACAGTTAGAATAGTTTTCACACACTCTATCTGTATTTCTCAGCTGCTTGTTAGTGTGCAGTCTTTTGCTTTTATGCTGTCTGATTTTATTTTCTTCTCTTGTAGACACCCATCCAAGAGCAAAACTTTCTCAGACTCTATATGTCTGCCTCTCTGATATGTGATTGTGCTGGGTCAGTGTGCCCAGGGGTTACCCCACCGGGGGGTTCCTCCTCTGCAAATAAGAGCCTCTGCTTTCAGACATGCTGCTTTGTGAGCTATGATAAATCTGTGGGAGCTGAGCTGCTGCTTCTCCAGCTCCAGTGTCTGAGCTCTGAGCCAGAGGGAGCTGGGGGACAGCAGGGCTACCAGTGGCAGGCATCTCCACTCTCTCATTACTGAGAGGCCTGGATAGCGCTAGGCTTCTCATGGGACCACTGACATGGAATATTTTTAGGCCTATGGTGCAGCGCTGCAGTTGGGCCAGTCACACCACAATGCCCTCTTTCCTTGAGCAACGTCTCAGCACTAATGGTTCATTTAGATTGTAGATATAGGGACATTCTGCAGCTGCATTAGAGCCCAAGTAAATACACCTACACTCACATAAATGTACATTTAGAACTTTCACCAGCTTCCATTACATACACTGCTGTGGGAGAACTGGAATCAGGAGAGAGGGGTGGCAAGGCCTTAATTACAGCCAACAACAGGCAAAATGTCTCCAAAGCTGTGTGGCATCAAACCACATGAGGGCTCTGTTTCATTTCCTCCTCTCCACCCCCCTCCCCCAATTCCCCAGGAGGTTTGTTGTTCTGTAGATGAGCCTGGTGCTTGCTCCCTTGGTCCTACATACAGTAACTCTCTGCAGCAGAACCAATATTTGAGGACAGTTTGCACTGTGCTGCTCCCTGGTGGCTGGGTTTGATGCTGCAGTTCCACCTTCTGTTTCAGCGGTGCTTAGACCTGCCAAAAGCAGATTCACTGCTCATCTCAGGTCAGCACTTAAGAAAATCTGCAAAGTGCACTGGACATACAGTGTACTACATCTATAACTGCTGTGCATGCTGGCCAGCCCTGCAGCAGAGCAGACACCCACTAGCTCCCCTGCATTTGCCAATTTATGAGAAGGAAGATGACTGAACTTTGCCTCAAGGTATCTTGGTGGGATTTCACATTAATGTATCCACCTTTAATGAGATGTTACCCAGAATGCAAATTTAGCAGGCATCAGCACCTATTGTATGTATAGGTACACTGTCCGTTCTTTGCATTAAAGATATCCCCCTCAAACCCGCTTCCAGTGCCCTTGTTATCAGCTGGAGTCAAAATTAATGGGGGAAATCTATCCAGGGTATGAACTGTGCTACAGACACATTCTTCAGTGTAAAAAAATAATCTTGTTTTTAACTGCAAGTGGATGTGCTGGTTGTGTGTCAGTAGGGGTCTAACCACCCAAATGTCCCATGGAGCCTAGCTGCTTTCATCTCCATGGGTCAGCAACTGATGAGACTCGAGGGCCGGCCCCACAGAAGCAAGCAAACAGCATGGAGAAAGTAACTGCTGAACAGCATGCTAACGAGAGAGAATAGACAGTGTGTGTGAAAGTGGAATCCAGGATAATGATGAACTACATAAAACAGAGATAAATAGTTATAACCATAGTATTTGAGAGAGAGGGAGTATTTTAAGCATGTCTTTGTTTATCTGCTAACCTCGGTGGCTCCTGAGAGGCCACTTGCTTTGTCAAATGCCTCCAATAGTCCATCATCACACTTGTCTGCAATCCACACAATCAGTATCTAGAGAGGGAGAAATAAAGGGATGAAACACCATTGTCTTGGCTTATGCATCATCTTTTGTCAAGTCCAATTTGTATTAGCCTCTGGCCATATCCAGGAAATATGGGTTCAGGATTCATGTTTAGTGAGAATGGTAATCTGCAGATGAAGTAAGTCTGTCAAAGAGATGTGAGACAGCTTGAGTCAGCGCTAGTCACAGAGCTTTGCCGCTGTAGAGGAAATGGGGTCCAACTTCTGCCGTCTGAAACAGACACTGATTTAAGTCAGAAGGAGCTTATCTGATGAAGATGATCTGATCGGTGTTATCAGTGTCAGATATCAGTCGCTGTCTTGTCACTGTCACTTCAGAGGGAACAAATCAACTTCAGGCAGAATGTTTCCTTCAAGAGATCAAATCTTTTTAGCCCAATAACCGTGGCATATACTTATTCAAATGTGCTCAGAAGAGTGCACGAAAGCTCTCAAAAATGCATTATTCAAACCCTAACTAATTGTATTCAGGCCCTTTATCATCAATCAGCTCATTCAAGAACACAATGCAGTCAGTGCTCTTATTCAGTCTTCTGTTAGAATAGTGCAACAAGGTCACATGGTTTATTGGCTTCTGCAGACTTTCAGGTTATGGTCTGGGGATTAATTGTATTAGCTCCACTCTCTTACCCAGCATAGAATATGTGACAAAAACACAACAACACAGCCCTTAAAATTCAGTGAAACCAAGCAAACAATTAAAAGAGTCTTCATTATTCATTTTGTGGCAGGCCTGCGACGGGCCGATATTAACAGTGGAGTGAACAGGGATTCATTAACATCTTCTCCCTCACTGCCTCCTCTCGCTGAGCCATTCCTTGCTGCGTCGTCAAACTCACTTATCTCTCTGAAGCAATTAGCCACTGGAGGCTCCAGTGACCTGAGCCTTTGTTAGACTAACGGGTTACATTAGCATGGCTGTAGCCTGGCTGTCTTGGCAATGCATGTGTCAGTGCCAATGTGAGCAGCACTGATAAAGATGGGCCTTGCGGTGTGCACGTGTATATGTGCGTGTGTGTGTTTTGGAGGACACAGGAACTACATGCTTATTAACTGTCTGCTACCATTGTGCCACTTGTATTAAGCACCTATATTATTCTCTTTATACAATATATGTATCCATTACTGTATGTGTGGGTGTGTGTTGTAGTCCTGTTTGCGCAAGAATGGTGAAATAACTAAACAGTCAAGTGTAAGCAATTCATATCTGTGTGTAATTTGGTTTGCCTTTATGCTATGGCATGCAAAAAAATCAACAGCTGAATGCACAGTGACACTGAGCAGCTTTCAAACTCCTGCAATATACATTTCAATACACAAAATCTCCATCTTATTATGTATGTGGGACACGGACGGATTTGATTCTGACTTGTGAAGCTATAGGATTACACACATACACAGTACAATGTGCTGAGTTACAGTGCTTTCAGGGGAAAAGCATTGCTCGTTGTTCCTGCTACACATACTGTATAATGATAGAGACCATAGTGTGGTGTGTGGCCTGTGCCAGTCAGTTGATGAAAATGGTATAATAACGGCACACTTAATTACTGTCAAGCAGCTAGAGAGATCCCTGACATGTTAGAACACAACAGAGTGAAACCACATTAAAATGACATACTTGTAAATAGCATGTTCCAGACAAACAGGCCCCATTTCTAATAGTACTGAAATAGCCTACTACTAAGTTCCAGTGAAAACAACAGCATATGTTATTCATAATTAAGCATTTAAATGTTCTACTTCTTCCATATTTACCAAATTAATGGTTTGTTTTCCAGAGATATGTCTCTTGTCTGCTATGTTGAGTGGGGAAACAGCGTCCTCATAACTTTTCCTGACAGAACAAGGAAGGATCAACCACACAGATAGCACTAGTTCTGCTGCTTGCTGCTATACACCTTTAAAAAAACACCATGGACAACAACCAGCATTTGTATGCAAGTTTCTTGTTCATTCACGTTTCTTCTTTCATGAGGCCATGGCTCAGGAGGCAGAGGAGGATTGACGGTTCGATTACTGGCTTCTCCAGTCCATATGTCAAAGTGTCCTTGGGCAAGACACTGAAGCCCAGGTTGCTCCTGGTGGCTGTCCGCAGGTGTGTGTGTGTGTGTGTGTGTGTGTGTGTGTGTGTGTGTGGGCAAATAGTGTGAAAGCACTTTGATTGTGCTTCAATGTGTAGAAATACACTATAGTAGAATAACTCCATTTACCCCCATTCTGTCCACTATGAGGAAAGTTTAAACCTTTCAGAAAGACTGATGAAAACATTTAGAAACTTAAGTGAGACGCAAGAGCTTTAGTAAGGCTTGCTAGTAAATCTTCATGTACAGTATTAAAGGCATGTGTTGGGAAATTACACTCATTTTTCTGTCTACTGACTATCCTGGTGGTGCTGTAGAGCTAATATTTAGACATATATTTTTGGAGCCTCCTGAGCGTGGCTGCACACACTGGCAGCCAGATGTCACGCCCTCAGCCAGCCCTCAGCCCAGACGACAAGCTCCACAGGCATTGAATGGTGTCTGTAGTCCTGCTCTGCACCGTTCAACCTCAGAGCTCAGAGCCATTCACCTCTACTGCTGCCTCCATGCCAGCCTGACAGATGCCCCCTCAGTGCAGATGTGAGCGGTGTAGGGGTGGCGGTGGATGGCACAATACAGCTAAATCACTGTGTAATCAATGTGTATGGCTGGGAGGTGATGGGGGCTCAGTGAGCATGAAAACATTTACAATTGGCCAGGTAGTCCTTGTAAACAGGAGTGGTTATACAAAAGAGGCAGGTTGAATAATTGATAGGAGGTAAGAGGATCTGGCTTTGGGGGATTTTGGAGCATTGATTCTGGCTGAAAGGGAGAGAGCAGGCGGGAGAGAGAGAGGCTTTTCTGGTGCTAACCTTTATAAATGCATTTCTCTTCCCCTTAGTCCTCGTCCAGCGCTGGTGAGTCTGTGCATGGCAGCTACAGCTTTTCCTGTCAGCCTCTATTTCTTTCCAGCTTCTCTTTATGTTCTCCTTTGTTTCTGTT